TATATATATTTGATATTTTTTGTTTGGCGTACATTGACCTTTGAGGTCTAAAAAGTTACTTGCATCATATTCAGATGTAAACTTCATATTGAAAATAATCCATAAAGCTTTCTGCTGGTGGATGTGCTTCCATTTATTCCCCAGTGGCACAGCATGGTAGCCCTCCTTTGCTCTGAAAGTGGGCACTTTAAAGGCTACTGGATACGTCACTCAAAACTGGTGAAGGAGAATACTTTCACACTCAAAAGGCGTTTCTTAAAGAAACGCATTTGTCTGACATTCACTGAAAATTGCCTTCCTTAAACTACTCTCCCAGTTCTGCTTCCAGACATGATGTATTGAGTACGAAGAACATTTTGACCACAATCTCAAGTGAAGGTGTGAAACTCTCTTTCAAGGGCCAGTTGAAGTCTACTCATAACAGTTGTGTTATATTAGAGGAGACTCAGTCAAAAATTAATGAATACACAATGGAAAAATTGTTTCTGTTTTACACACTATCCTATTCTTAAGATTTATTTTATTAATTTAGGAAAAAATTGTAGCACCCATTTTATTCAGTTCTAGGCAGCAGGATTAATTAGGTTGATAGCCCCCGGCTGTCTGGAACAATGTGTGGAGGGGACTATAGATGCCTTGTACAACCTTTGAACAATTTCTCCTAAAATGCATTACAGAATCTGCCTCACAGAATAGTTTAATACACATCTAGAAACCTGGCTTGCACAGGACTTGTGGGTTTTCTGAAAAGTTTTTGTGAAAACAGGAACCTTATTTTCTCTAAATTCATCATTCATTGATTTCTGCTTCTTACTCCTTGGAATCTCTCTCTGAACTACAAAGTGCAAATGTAATTGGAATGCTGGGTAGTTGGTTCACAGATTTCATGGAAACCTTTATTTTAAACAGATGAGCATTAGCCAGGTTTAAATGAAACTTTTCCTCTGTGTGTGTGCGCAAGGGTGCATATGTGTCAACATTTTAAAAACACAAAAGTGTGTATTACCTACCTGAGGTATAAGGTGTAGCAACGCATCTCCAGAAAGGGTCCCAACAGCCAAACCAACAAACAGCTGTAAAATGAGTGTATAGATTTCTTGACAGGAGTTAAATAAAATCAGCGTTGTACCAAACATAGATCCAATAGTAATAAGTAAAACAGCAACAGTGCTGTAACCATATTCTGCAGGGAAAAACAAATGAAACAAAATAAAGGCACCTTTAATCATTCACTATTTGTACTTGTGTTTGGTTATTTGTTTTGTATTTGTAGTTGTTTTTGAGGCTATGTTTTGCCACCTCTGTGTACAAGCACATAGAGGAGAACTGATTCATTGTGCCACATAGATTTTTCTAGTCATGTGTGATACAGATGACAGAATTGGAAGCCTAAAAAACATTCATTTTTTTCAGGCTTTACAGGTAATACAGTCTAATGCTTCCAAATTTCAGGCATTAAAGAACTAAATAGACTGTGACTGTGCAGATTAGAGACACTCAGAGCAGCACAGTGAATACTGGTCCGCATTTGTTTCCTCTTTTAACAGATTTATGCTTGTCATTCTATGTCCTCACATGCCACACCTGTGTATCTTTACAATCAACACGACATTATTAATCAAATCATATTCAGTAAACAAACCTAGGCCTAAAACCTCAGATGAATGTAGGCATCCAGTTTAGGGTCTAAGCATAAACTCTTTGGTCCAAATGGTGTTTGTAAATGTGCTGTGGACATACACTCCTTTAGTTACTACATCAGGACCACCAACGTATTTTTCCCAGGTTACTGGGATTTTTGGAAGGTTACTCTTATAATTCTTCCGAGTTACACCCTGCTCACATTTCCAACCTTTCGCACAACATGAATCCTGATTAATCTGTATGAAAGTCTTATGATGGAGGTAAAACACTGATGAGAAACAGACATAAAGGAACTAATGCCAAAATATTCGAAAGTGTCACTCAATGTTTCACACTTTAATAGCACTGCAAGTGCTCAGCACCTCATAAAATCAGACAGTAAATTTCACATGTTGCACATCCAAATACAAGGGTATAAGAGATATTTATGGAAGGTCAGGCCTTGGTGTCTTAGCCAAAACAGCACAGCCTGTCAGTAAAACAGAACTGAGAATAAAATTAATCAGCTCATGCTCAGGTTACTAGGTCACACATAGGTCAAACATGAAGTCGTTTGTCTGTCAGTGTCCCTGTGGTCATGGACTCCTTCCTTTGCCAAAAAGCCCCTGGAAAGGGCTGCAGAAAGCGGTGTTATTAATTCCATTCTGTATTTGGATAGTTCAGCTTTTCTCATCTACACAGATCTCTCACCTTTATGAAATCATTAAGATGCCATTGATAGGGCTGATAGCCTTAGACTTGGGAGAATCTCACTCAGTTGTCAATTTGCCATGAACCTTGTACATGACCTGGGTAAGTTCCTTTCTTTATTTGTCCCTTGATCCCTCATCTGAAAAATGGGCATATCCGTGAAGCACAGAAAAGATAAAAGCAGTAAAGACTGCAAGGTGTTCAGGCAATGAGAAGAGAGATAACATAAGAAAGAAGGACTGCTGCCTTCTGGGGAGCTATAATGATTCTTCCTATTCTGTACGATTCTTTCTCCTATAATCATTCTTGGGATAACCATGAGTGTTCTTCCATGCCCTTATCTAACACGTTTTTTTTAAATTCACACTCATAGTTCAATTAATCTGTACACCATGGAATGATAGCTCAGCTTATTCCCACAAGCTGCTTAATGTATGTCGCTTAAAGTACAGAGATAATTTAGAGATGGAAAGTGTTGTTCCATAAGGATTGTTGACCAGCAGGACGTGAGGAAATCTTACTAGCTCCTAAAAGTTCTAGTCATCTGGAGCTGGCCGTGCAGATATTAGGATAAAGGTATTGAAGCCATTGATTTGTACCCCAAAAGTGCTGCTCTAGGTGCAATTGATCATGGTTAGATGCCCATTCCTTTTTGCTCATTCCCAGCTCCCAAATCCCCCACCGGAAATTAATGCCCCATAATACACCAGCACACATGTTTGTAACCACTTCCCAGATATTACTGGTTTAAAGTAAAAACAAAAACAGCAAGCATATTAAGAAGCCCTTAGATCAGATCAGATTCAGATTTTTTTTGATAGGGTGGGCTAGGGATTGGTTATAGGAGAGGTTGAGTCAGCAGAACAGATGGGGCAGAAATCCCTGGAAGCAGTGGCATGTGAGGGCTACGACTGCAACTGGAAACAATCTGATTATACTCTAACTCAGTTCTTGTTCCAGCTCTGTCACACAGGTTTTGCTGCCCATGTGACTGGTTTCCTGGTTGTTTTTCTTCCCACAGCAGTATCCCCAAAGCTTCTCTGCTGTAAAATATCACAACACGAAAACCCAGCAACATTCACACAGAACTTATCTATATCAAGCATTTGCCACATCACGGTATAAAATGCCAGCTAACATAACCTTGAGGCTATACATAACAGCAATGTAATGATTCCAGCATAAAACTGGTGGAAATTTCACAAAATAGGTCATTACTGCCTAGCAACCCACTGATAAGGACCTGTTACACCTCACTTGCTGCCTACATCAAGCAGTTCCCTAAGAAATTAAGAAAATAAAGGTTAGAACATGACACATTGAAGTATCATTCTGTCTAATATAAAACTGAGACCACTGAACCCCTTTACTTCTCAATATAGTAATATTGTCTGACATGTATGCTATGAAATTATAGAGTGCATAAATTAGAGTGCATAAATCTCATCATGTTTTGGTTTAAGTCTATTAATGAATGAAATTACTTCAGAAGTTAAGCCCCTGCACCTCCTTATCTGAATTTTCACAATACTTTATAGATAACAACATAACTCACTTTCCAAAGTTGTTGGTGGAAGCTTTGTCTGCTTGGAGTCAGTAAGCTGACATGAACAACTTAATAGTTGCTGAATGATAGCTGGACTGATTTGCTTGAAGTGGTCCTTAGAAATGGAGGAAGAACTGTTTTTAAAAAATATCTTCACAAGTTCATTGGCAGAGAAACAAACCTATGTAGAAAAGTATATACAGTTACTGAATTTTTTGCATATACCTGCATTTAATGCTGAGGTTAAATATGCAATCTTAGAAGAACATAGGGTTATACAGCCTAGAAAAGCTCGTTTTCCATATACATCTTTCTGGTTAAATTACTTTAATTACTTTGATTACTTGTAATTCTTTTTTGTTTTTCTAGTTAAAACTTGATACTACTCTATATTTCAGAAAGAGCAGAATCTTTGGGATAAAGTAGCACAATTTCTATTGAGGCTACTAAGAAGTAGCTCAGTGAGCTACTTCTAAACTGTGGCTCACTAAGAAACTGGATAAATTGAGCACTGATACTTTTATTCTGAATATCATGTTCAAGTTTTTGGGATAACAGGTGATCTTGCCACCTGGATCTAGCCTGTTCTGCCTCCAAGCAGAAGGAGAGCATGAAGACAATTCAGGAGCTACCATATTGGAAAAGACCTTCAGTTTGCCTGTTCTAGGCAGTGGTTTTGACTCTAGAAGTAGGGAACACCAACAAGTGGTATCAAGTTGGAAGTCTAGCTCGTGGTTTGTTATGAGTAGCATTTCTCACTGGGCAGTACAGAGACTGATATTATTTAATGCCTTCACCAGTGACCTGAGCAATGGAACAGAGGGCACCATATCGCATTCACAGATTAAATTCAACTGGCACAAGTAGTCAATACGCTGACGACCATGGCTGCTATTTAGAGGGGTCTTGACAAGACAAAGAAATAGGCTGACAAGACCTTCATGAAGATCAGCAAAGACAAATTTATTGTGCTTCAAACAGAATAAACCCATGCATCAATAAAGGCCGGGAAAAACTGACTGGAAGGTAGCTTTACAGAAAAAGTCCTTGGGGTCCTGACAGGCAACTTGAACGTGAGTCACCAGTGTGCCCTTGTGGCAATGAAGGCTAACTGCATACTGGTCTGCATCAGCAAGAGTGCAGCCAACAGGTAGTGGAAAAGATTATTGCCCTCCGCTCAGGACATACGAGTCCTCATCTGGACTATGTCCAGTTTAATAACCAGCAGCACAAGAAAGACATTAGCAAATTGTGGGAAGTCCAATGGAGGGCCATCAAGATGGCTAGGGAACTGCAGCACATGATGTGCAGGGAGAACTCAGGGATCTGGGTTTGTTCAGCTTGGAGAAGAGAAAGGTTGGGGGGTACCTTAAGTCATTAACTATCTAATGGGGGTTATAGAGAAAATAGAGCCAGAGCCTTCTCAAAGGTGTACAGCAAAATGATGAGAGACAATATGTATTACTTGCAGCAGGGAAAATTCCGATTTGCTACAACAAAAAAGCCATCAAAGTGAGGGCAATAAAGCAGTGGTATAGGTTTCCCATCAAGACTGTGGAATCTCCATGTTTGGAGACATTCAGAATTCAGCTGGACAAGGCCCTCTGAAACTTGATCAGACTTTGATGTTGGCCCTGTTTTGAGAACTAGTATGGACAAAATGAGGTCTGGGATTTCTATGAACCTAAATTTTAATGTGATTTTTCTTGTAATGAATTTTAAATGAACAAGCAAGATCTCATCTGGAAAATAAACTGTGTATCCACACATAAAAAAATAATTCTTAATGCTTATTTAGCAAAATGTTCTTGTAAGACTTGAGGCATGAGGACCTGCATCTTTTCCAGTTCCAAGCCCTAGCCTTTCAAGCTTTTTAACATAGGGAGGCAGAGTACTAAGTCTCCATTAGTAAAGCAACTATGTGTGTACTCCTGGAGGATGATACTGAAGAAACAAGTAAATTGAATTTGCATATTCTCATATGTAAAACTGGATGGATGGACAGATGGATGGATGATTTTGTTTTCCAAAATCAATGTTTCTTTAATGAGGAATAAATGAATACATAGATATTGTGACATAGTTTTATGGAACTTAATATTATTGCTTTTATTAGATCACCTCCTACTTACTTGTTTTATATGTAGTTTTTAAATCAGTGGAGACAATGACTTAAAAAGAAAGCAGTGACCTTTTTTCTGTGATAATGTTTCAAAATATAATTCCTATCTAAAAATCAAATTACAGATCTTAATGTAGCTAGCAAACACAAGTCATAAACTAGTCAATGCCTCATATGCAGCAGCATCTGTTACTAATGGAGCACAATGGTTATCACAGATACGTGCAGAAAGCATGAAACAAAATTAGCAACACAACACTGAAACGCAAAGCCTTCTAACGGAATGATATGTCAAAGAAAACAGACATAACTAGAAAGAAGAGGAATGGAATAAAAATGAGAAACTAGGAATTGACACAGAAGAGAAATTCTCTTCTCTCCAGATGTTTCTTTTTGATATTTTTTTTTTAATCTATATAGAATATTTGGCTCTCAGTTTGACTCCCAAGCCTCAGATAACTCCAGTGCACACTTATCTTTTGAGTTACAGCCAATCTCAGAAGTTCAAGAAATAAAAACCTGTATTTTATAAATTCTTCTATTGCTGGAGAACAATTTTACTTTTTGTACAGATAGTGTCACTACCGATTTTTGTCCTTCATAATTTAAAATTAATATGAAACACATTTAAAATGACCTTCATTTAAAATTATTTTGAGACCCCATTAAAGGCATCATCATATTGATCAGCATGATTCTCTTTTGTGGTCAGCTGGAAAGAAATAAACATATTGATAGAGTATGTATTCCAAATGCAATAAAATTACACAGATGAATATCTATCAGAATGGCATTTAACCAGAAGCCATTTGTCTCAGTTCCAATTATAAAATGACCACACAGCAAAATTCAATTGCACATTGCTTATTCTTCTAAATGGAGAAGAAACATTCTCTTTGAGATAACTTAAATTGTAAAGACCTGAAAACAATAGAAATATATTCTTTGAAGCATGTATTTCAAATGTACATGTCAAAATATACACAAGGTATATACTTTGAAGTCTCCTTTTTTATCTAAGAAATGTCTTCCAGTCTAAAGGATGGAACACTTTAATGATTGTTATAAACAAAATTTATTTATTTTCAGATATTTAGGATAAAATCACCTGCTATGAGCCACTGTCCTTCAAAGACCTCAAAGAGAATACTGGGTAGTAGCTAAAGATCTGTCTTACAGACTCTATACTTTCCAAAGGAGGCTTCTGGACTCCGTAGATGGCTATTAAAAGTGTTTGGAAATGCCCAGTCTTCAGTTTACAGAAGCCTTTTAAAAACAACTTATGCAGAAACCTTCATTTACTTTTTTTCCTTAGTACAGAACAACCTTCTTTCTACAAGGTCACCTAAGGGGCCCTAGAAGCTCTGTGACATAAGAGAACAAGAAATCTCTAATAAATGTGGGAAAACATTGAAGCCACGGTACTACAGTCCTCTGTGTCTTGAAGAAACACCTGATTCCTCACAACACTAAATATTCTGTTAGCCTCTCCCAGCTACTTTAATGACATACTCAATATCCTTAAAGTTCTTCCCCCAATTAATATTTAAACAAATAAAACTATATAAAAACACATTTATCAGTATCTACATGACTTTTTGAAACTAATACATTTTACCTCAGAAATAATGTAGTGTTTGCAAACCAATTAGAACTTCTATCACTGAAATTCTGTGACCAATACTATAATAACGTAAAAATAAATTAACCTGGTCCCAATCTGTGTTCCTTTCATGATCTTCAAAATAACCTTTCAGATAGTCTCCTTTTGTATGGTTTCCTTTGACTGGAATATTTCTGGTTCCAATATCTCTGATTGCCATACTATAACGTCTTCTTTTGTGACTGTGGAATTGTCCATTTACAGTGCAGGTCTTTTTGGCTGTAAGCACATGTAGTAGTTGTTCTAGTTCTAGTAATTCATTAGAAAACAGATATGTTACCATTGGAAAATACACATTTAAAAAGATAAAACCAAAAATAATTGTTAAAATGTTGTTAGTTTTAACATTAATTCAACTCTTCATTTTAATACTTTTTTCTCTCCTCAGTTTGGTACTGTAGGTAATTTCTGCTTAACACCTCTAGAAGTTCAAGACACCTATATACTCAGCCTTTCCTTCTTTACAGTATCACACTCAGATGTTTTGCCTATGACTATCTCAGAGAAAAACAGATGTATCTGAAAGCCAATTCATCTTCCATTTTATCATCGATCTCTGTTTACCGCTGAATTACCGCTAAATAGCTTCACCGTTCGTCAAATTTTCCCATGTTAATGGAACACCATGCTAAAATGACATGGCCAGGTATTCGGATAGTCCAGAAAGACCAGGAATACAGATCCTTTCTAGACTGTCCTGAAAGCAATCTTCAGGATGCTATGCTGCCGTACGCACTTCAGAAGTGGAACACAGGGCAGCAGATTTTCTCTCCCCTTTGGTTAACCTGGAAGCATGCCTGTTTACAGCACTGAAGTAGGAAGGTGGGAGCCAGGATCCCTAATCCAAACCTGAGACAATGCAGGGATGTAGCCCATGACACAGTTTGAGTCCAATGAGTGTGCCTGCTGATGAAATGCTTGGTTATATGAGGAAGCATGCTCTATCCTATCTTACTTATCACCTTCCTTCACCCCTGCATTTTCAAGATGAAGCCATAGGGATAGCTTCTGTAAACCTGAGTTTGTCTATTGGAAACAAAAGCAGTCCACAAATTAATTTCAGAGAAATTTAGATCACTGAGATTAAGAATGTTTCCATGTGATAATCCTTCGGTTTTTAACGTTATTCAGAAAAGCAAATGGTATAATCTTAATGGTAAATCTTACAAAAAGGCTTGTGATAAGATGTTTGTCTACTTTCTTTGTCTTGAGCAAACAGATCTGAATGGAGCTGAAGCTAGATTTGTTTTCTAAATGTAGTATTTTTTTCCATGTTGCCAGCTCCTTGCTCTTTCCTGCAGTTACTATTAAGAATTTAAACAAATTTAAAGGGACAATTTGATTAGTTTAGGCTTAAAATATAGTGTAACAAACTGGTTAAGAATATTTTTTTGTTTCCCTGAATGACACCCTAACTCCACCAACTGTAAAGTCTTGCTATTGTTTTCACTAGGGCCTGGATTTCACCATATATAGCTATTTAGTAGCACTGTGCCCAGATGGCTCCATCCATTGCTGTGAGTCAATTGTTTTAGAAGATCTGGCTTGGCGTTTTTAAAGGAAGGGTTTTGCTGCAAAACCAGTTTATGCAAGTACAATGAAGGAGTCCAAGTTTAGGGCTGAGGATTTTGTTCTTTTTTTATTATTTATTTCTGTGATTCAAAGTACCTCTGTGTAACCTCAGTGGTAAAAATGTTTTTACCTATGCTTAATTCAACTTTTTAAGCTGTTTTTACCCACACTCAATGCAACTTTTTAAAAGTGCTTTGAAAAGCTTGTAAAGTATTGCTGGTAGCAGTTACTACAAACAAGGAAAAGTAGATGTCTTATAATAACCTTCTAAATCCATAGTAGGCCTCTGAGTTGATGGTTTAACAGTTTTAAACTGCTAAGCATGCAGAATCTTTTACAGAACTTAATAGCAGCTGCTGAGAGCTCAACACTTGTGTTTTGTTTTGTTGGTTTTTTAATTTTTTAATCACTCAGAATTCTCCTATACTTCTATTTATTTCTGGTTAAGTAGCATTTCTGATATGTCCAGCAACAGAACTCCTGAAGAAAATGAACTTTGCATATTCCAGACTCACTTACTGAATACTAAGATCAGAAGGTGGGTAGGGAAGCACAAACCACAAAGATGTTTTCAGGTACAGCAGGCAGATACCAGAGAGCACTTGGTCAAAACAGAGTGGCCTGTGTCTATTTCTTCTCTTCTGGGGGTACGTCTACACTGAGGTGTGAGTGACTAGGGTGTCTAATCTGGCTACCATACGTGAGTCTTGCAATGTACGAAGATCTGCATAAAGAAGCAATGCAAACGAGGCCCAAGTGAACTCTGCCCTTGCAGCTAGATTGCCAATCTCTGAGCTCTCTTGGGCACTTCAGACTGTGCTGAGCAATTAAATAATAAATTAATGTGACAGTACACATTTAATAATGTCAGTAATGATTTGTTTTATACCTCTCAGAAAATTATCAGAATAAGTTTATTTTCCAACATTGTTTTTACTTAACAGCTCTAAAATGAAATGGCTTTTAAATCTAAAATGAAGTACAAAAAGTCCTTTAGGCATTTAAAGATAGTTTACATCAAGTGTGAGTTGCAAAAGGCAACGAATAAATAGCTTACCTGTCACTTGGAGCTCAGTGGTACTGTTTAGAGAACTGAAAATATATTTTATAAAGAATTCTGGAGAAGGCAAACTTGCTTTCCCCATACAGATTCCTTGGAGAGCCAGAGTAATGATTAAAGCAGCCAGTCGTGGAAGAGTGTTTTCATCAGCACCATCTCTGTTCATTATATCAGCATTTTTCTCCAGAGTACTCACATCAACACACTGAAATCAGAAGAAAACGGCATGAGGACAGCCCTGGTCACCTCCATTTAAATAATCAGAGTGACAGGAGGAGGAACTGGACAGAACGCTTTCACAGACAGCCAGAGTAGAAAAAATACTAAGATTAAAGCTGTAATTGACAGCAGGACAGCAAATGCGAAACGGGACTTTTTCAGGAGAACAGGCATAGAATAAAAAAGCCTGACATTTTACTCAGGTTCTGATGGGGAAGAAGTACAGTCCTTCATTCAAGTTATTTTTGCTTAGTGTTATTTTCATGCTGTTTCTATTATCCCTGTGTCCTCCTCAATTGCATCTACATCTACTTCCAGAAAGTGGCAGAAAAGGGAGGAATTTTTGTTAAGGTACAAGATACTGACTCAAATAATACAGGCTTCAATTCTTTATCTCAAACTTCAGAAGAATTCTCTTAATGTTTTTAGTTACCTACCTATTAAATTGAATCCATAATTTGTTATGGGGCAGTTTTCTGAGGACAATATGGAAAGATATAATTCTGCAGATAAAGGGTAACTTCCCTGCTGGGTGAACAAAGGAGCAGTAGAGAATTGTGTACACCTACGTGTGTGGATGTGTGCAGGTCTGAAGTGAGGGAGCAAGGTACAGCTCTCTCAGTTACCTGGAAACTTATCCCTGTTTTCTTCCATTTCTGCCTTTCTTGTTTATTTTCACTGCAAACAGTTGGGGTTTGAGAGAAATAATAAAAAAAAAAAAATTGATGAAAATTATTTAAGTTCATTTGTCTCTAACCCATATCAATTAATTGAAAAGTCAACTAGATGAGCCAATACAGTAATAATTTATTTTACACATACTCATCTTTCTCTATATATTCCTTAAACATTGCAGAGGAGGCTGGCATTTCCTTTCCTGTCCATCCATTACACATTTAAATTTCCACAACCCAAAATTTAATCTCTAATTTCAAATAATATATTAGGTTCTATGACTGAGAAGAGGATGTTTCCTGCGAAACCAAAACATAAGAGCCACTAAAAATGTTTTTTTTCTATTACTACCCTGCATCATTGGCACTTTTCCATAACTCAGGTATTGCGATTCTAAGCATTAGATAGTCTATAATGTCTTGACTATCTTTTGTAAAAAACCCTTCTTTGCCTTCATGTCAGTGAACAGTGAAGTGTCAGTAACTGAACAGGCTTGACAACTGATTATACTGCCAGCATAAACAAATAGACCACACAGCAAAGCACTTTATGGATTGTTATTCTATCTTGACATGCCAAATACCCACCGATGCCTCTTCACTGTTGCCCAGATACCATTGGAGTTCTTGGAAATCGGCACGTTCACCAAGACCCAGAACCAAAAGTACTGGTCAATGAATAATTTATGATGGGAAACGATTACACAAAGAACACAGAAAGAGAAACTGGAGGCCCTCAACATTCTGCTGCACAGCCAGGACTCCTAGCCATCTTCTGTTTGCGTAGGAAACTCTACTACAGTATGGTGTAAATTAAAATCTAACGAAATGAAAAAGAAAAGGGCAAATTCAAACTTTGCAATAAAACAAATTTAACTGTATATTATGATCAGATCTAAGGGGCTTCCCACAGGAGGTCAACCTGTACTTCAGGAGTTATCTAATCTGGCAAAAACTTATTGCCCATTACAAAGAAAACAGTTTTTCTTTGGATTGTGAACTCTAAAATATTGCTGTATTATTTTACAGAACCTACTTGAGATAAGGAATAATAAACAGTGATGAGAAAATTCACTGCATGTTTTCTGACTTAAACAGGATGTTTTTAGCTGAATATACTCAATATCCTTTTTTTTTTTTTTCAAACTTGAAATTTACACTTATCTGTATCAGTCTTTCTACAAGGCATATTCTTGCTTGTAGATAATTAGTCACAAATGTATGTGTCCCAACTGAAGGAAATTTTCATATCTGTGGACAGATTCCTTATTCCACCTTGCTTTGGAAGGATGTGAAAGTGCAGGGCCTGGCAAGGATTTCATCACAGCAAAATGATTCATCATTTCTGCTGTACAGCCAGATCAGTTTTGGAGCTGTTCTGCTTTATACCACCTAAATACACTCACTGTGAGTATATCTATACTAATAAATACAAGAGATGAGAAAGTATTTTCTGCCATTGAAGCCAAGTGCAAGATCTTGCATCTACAGAGGTATGCTCTTTTCCATCTACCCTAAGCAGGGCAACTGCATCTAAATTACATATTGACAATGGTCCCTAATATGCACTATCTATCTCCCCAACCATGTCTGATCAGACTCTGTGGAAGTGCTAGATAGCACATGCCAAAAGCAAGTCAAGGAGAAGGCTAGTATTAAACAGCATGTACAACAAAAGACCAATGTTCAGCCTGTGCTCTCACACTGTTATTTACCAGTTTTCTGGAGGACCATGATACTAGCACATTGTCTGAACTAGCTTAAAGGAATTATATCAGTAACAACTATGAAGTTATTTTTACTTATGTTTTCTTTACCTGGCTCTCAGGAGTTTTAAAATGTTGCCTTACTGCAGCCAAAATATCTTCAGTTTCATTCCGTGAAAAATAGTAACAGTCTTCATCATGTCTTAAACTAAGCATACTCTGTAGGTAAAATTTATAATCCTTATTATTCAAGCTGAGTTCTGAAGAACACACATCTCTATGATGAAGAATGTAGTAGAGAAGAATAACAGAAATTCTCTCAAATACTTCTTCGCTGAGATGGTCTTCTAAATCTCCACCAGCTATTAGTAACAAAGCATCTGGTTCAAGGCACTGTAAAAAAATAAATGGAAATTCAACTCAAGTGACACACTGCCAGTCATCTGCAAATAGAATTAAAGAGGAGAATAGGAGAATTTAACTCCTGTGTTTAAGGGATCGCACCTGAGCCTACACAGATGCAGGCTGATGGAATGGTAGGAGGAGGGTGCAGGTAATTCATTGCAGTTCTATGGCTGCAAGATCACACTGTTTATTTCCAGAGCGCCTTCTGTTTTTAAGAAATGTCAAGTATCCAAAGGTTTTAAGATTTACCACAAAACAGGACTAACTCTTATCAATCATTGTAGAGAACTGAAAGTCTTCTACTGGCTTCAACAGATTATATTTCTGGTTATAAATATATTAGATAGGGGTTAGGGCTATTGATATTTTCACCTGTGCATTCTATATGCGTTTATATTATAAGACAAAGACCCTATCTGGACTGTAGTTAATTCAGGGTATGTAAACAGAAGTTATATCATATTCAATGTACTGTTAAGAGATTTAATTGACCCTGCAATCATACAGCTTTTTTTATTTTTTCTCCACGAATTCTGTTAACTGGAAAAATTCAGTTCAGTGCAGAGAGCAAGCACAACATCTCAACACCATTTAGTCCTTCAAATGCATTTGAAGAGGGACTGAAATGATATACTCGTCCTGTGTAGGCTTTCTATCTGAGCATAGATTAAACATGTTTGTGTGTGTGTATATATATACATATATGCATAAAACCCTCTATTTTTCTTGATACAATGACACTTTCCAGAAACTTTTGCCAGCTGAAGCAAAAGGTAGTTTTTAAAATTAGACCAGAAGACTAATAGAGCTCTATGTCAGGCTATGGGAAATAAGATACTGAATTCCAGAACAAAGACTCTTTCTTGAGGAGATCCTGTAACTATTGTCATTCATTCTGTAGCTGTTTTTTTTCCAACTGGCTCCTTTCCAGGCATATTATAGGCATGTCAGCTAATCTCAACTATTATGGTAGAGCAGCCACACTGTACATTTCAGAGAGGAAACTACAATACATGAAGGTACCATGGGACAATCAAAACTGCACTCTAACAACTTAACGAATCCAGAAAGAACCTAGATCGTCAGACTAAATTGTTTGTGGCTACAAGCATGATGTGTTGGTTGGCGTGGATCACCTTGTATGTTAGTTCATTTTCCTACACAAAAGCTGAGTAGAATCAAACACAAATTGTCGTGTTCAGAAGCCAATGTTCCTTGGAGGAGCTGACAGAGCTGCTACTTTTTAAACAAAATAATTCTAACAAAAATTCTCACAAATACTCAAGCTAAGATAAAGAGAACTGTGGATGGTAATTGCCAAATTAAATATTTATACTCATGAATAAACTAGATTACAGTATGATCCACTGTGCCCTGCCTACATTGTCCATCAAGATCTGTAATTCTAACTTTTTCTAATGCGTGCCTCTGAGTATTAGTATTTGGGCTAGGAGGAATATAGCTATTCTGTTTTGTGTCCCAACAGACCTCAAGTTGGTCAACCAGCCTTTCCAAACACTCAATAGTAAGACAATAAACATACTGCATGTAGTAGAATATTTTCAAAGACTTCCATCACATTTCAAAACCCAGTAAGTATAAATTGTAATCAGTGAGGCTGTTGTTTGCTCTTGCAAGGAAGATGACTAAAAAGGAAATTGCTAATTAGAAGGGAGCAGCAGCTACTCCAAAGTATATGGGTAGCCCATAGAGAATGACCCTTGAGGACATATCAAGAGGGTATAAATTGATTCATCACTGGTTATTTCGCTGTCACTAATATTTTACAGGCATAACTATCTGCATGGCCTTGGCTTAGAAACGCTTGTTTGCTGTAAAGAAGAGGCTTGCTTTGAACCTGGGCACTGAACCCTGAGTTTCTTTTGTTTAAGAAGCCAGAAGTTAGAAAGAATTAACTTACCACTGCAAGAAATATATGACTTTTGTGTGCTTAGGAGATGAAGAAGTGTCTGATGCCATTCAATAGCTGCCAGCCCCTGCCCAAAGAGTCTTGGGGCCAATATGTAACAACAAACCAAAAAAGGGTCTAAAAAGTGTTAAAATTCACTGCTTTTAAATACCTATTGGAGACATCATTAAAAATTTTTTAAAATAATGTGAAAACAAAGTCATGTGATACCACTGGAACTCTGGATTTAGAAGGGAAAGCATAGTCTGAAATCAATTAGTTATTCTCCACAAGTATGGGAACGAAAATGCCAAGCTAAGGTGGGGCATTCTGTTTCAAATTTTGATGATCTTGAAGGATAGCGCTTCTTGCACAGGTTTTGCTACTTTGGTTTACCAAATCTTGTTAAATCATTTTGGAAGATTTCAGCACACTGCCATGTGACCATCCTCATAATTCTGATATAAAGTGACAATCTGCTGTATATAGGTCACTGAACAATGCCAGAGCTAGAGTAATGTTAATCAATGCCAAGACTGACCAAGCCCTTTGTAGTCCTTTTCAGCTAAGTTGCTCACTTATCACTGTCTCTGTCCTACCAGAACCTACGATCTTATTACACTTGTTCCTTTCTTTGTCAAATTGGGGATCAGTTCTGAAAATATTCTCAACTCAACTAGACTACCAAATCTTCTGTGAAGCTGTACCCTGGACTATTTCCAGTTTCAGTTTGGATTTGTAGATTCATTGTTCTGCCTGTGATTTTCCTTGACCTGAACTGCTTATCAAAACCATCCTCTAAATCTTGAATATTTCAGTGAAGTGGCACATAAATCTGAGACAATCCTGCCTGGGTTCTATTTTTATGAAACAAAATCCAGAACAACAACAAAAAAAAAAGTGGCAGAACAGTTCCCCAGTTTTTACCTATGTCTTTCCACAGTGGAAATCCTCTGTGTCCCAAAGTCAAGCTCATGCTTTTATATATTATATAGAAAAATATACACTTGATGACTTTTAAAGGAAAATTATTAGTGCTATGCGACTGAAGCACAACATTTTAAAGGAATGCCTGTCATGTTTGGAATAGCTCTTCATGAGCTCAAACAATAAATATTAATAACTCAGAATGAAACGATTCAAACAGGGACAATTTTTTGCTGCAACAACATACCCTTTAAATGTTTAAGTTTTGTATTAGAGTATCACTCAAATAATTTTACAACTCACTGATGATCCTGTAAAGATATCCCTCATTAATCGAAGCACTAACCAGATTACAATCCTCTTGCATGCCATAAATCCGCTGTGGGCACTCAGCTCTCTCCAGTAACATTTTGACCAATTCTCCTGAGTGGTTCATGTGGAGATCAGTGTTGTCAGCTGAAAGAACGCGTAAAACTTCCATCAGATAGCCTCGGCTGGGAGCATAGATGCCATCCTGCCCATGCTCTTCCCCAGGCTGTCCTTCAGCGATGAGCACACTGAATATGAAAGCAGAACATACCACCCCAAGAGCTGGATGCTTGGTCAGAAAACACATCTCCTCTTCCTGCAGTGCGTGATCTGCACTGAATGTTGGATTGTTGTTTGCACTTCACAGCTTAAACTTGAAACCTGAGGAATCTGAATGGTAAAGGGGAAAAAAACCCCAACCCTTTAATTAGTGTGAATGCAATATGTTTGAAAGGATTTATTAATCGGTCGGCTAAGCTGATTTGCAGTGACAAGCTGTTTTTGAACAACAGGGAGCCTGTAAGGGCTTTACAGCCCAGAACAGCAGGAAACTAAGACAACCATGGCCTTAAAACTTCTGTAGAATTACCAACGAGAGGTTGACTCAAAGTGCCCTTCCTTCCTCATAGAAGTAAAGTGTATGGTTTTCATTTCAGTGTTATGTTATTTTATCCACTAATAATCCTCTTCAGTAAGAACAGGAAAATACCGTAACTTTCACTTTCATTCCACTATGAAACAGGTTTTTAGTAGCAAAAATAACTGTAAACAAAGATTACTAGTCTAATTCTGATATGAATGTGCAGTAATTATGTTACACGGCAATGACATAGAGCAGATTTTATTTTCAAAACACTTTACCAACGTTACCAAACTCCAGCCATACAACACAAAACAAGAATGAACAGAATGTACTTAAAAACTAGTGGTATTTTATGATCAGACAAAAGAGTTACAAACTGAGGTCACAATTTCATTCATAGAACTCAGTGAATAAACAAGACAAACATACCAGAAGCAATAAGTTTAACTTGTTAACTCTAGATGCAAAAGACATTTGTACTGTAAATCTGTCTTGTCACTATCCTTCCTAATATACCATTGCCTCTGCTTTAACAATAATCTATCTCAACATCAAAGCACAAGAAACAAAAGAGTTTCACTTCTGTTTTCCAAAAGGAGGATTTTATTCTGTTGACGGGCAGGTGCTGGCAGTGACATACATTTTCAGATGATAATGCACGTGTTAAACAGCCACACATAAGTTCAGTTTCTTTTAACTGCAATATGATACGTATGTCTTATTTTAAAGGAAACTCTGCTAATAAAGTATTTAAAATGAAAAGAGAACTACTGAATTCAAATTGGCACTCACTCAGATAAAGGTTAGTATGTTTTTAGATGTTAGGAAATCTTTTGGTGTTTAGGTATATTTTACTGTTAGCAGTTAGGAATATGTATCATTGTTACAAGGATGCACTTATTTCTAAACATTATTTTCTTACCTTCTGAAGGCAAAAAGAATGCTTGCGTATCTAGCTTTGTGGCCTTCTGAATCCTCAGAAGTATTTAGCTGCTGGAAGTCCAATGTTTTTAAAATTCCTTGATGGTGCTCTCGAAGCTGGAAGGGATTAGTTTACTGCTGCCTTGAAAAGTTTTCAGTTGCTATGGAGAGAGCTGCTTTTAAGGTAACAATGGAGGTGGATAGGAATTAGTACATGTTCTTCTTGGCAAGTTCTAAGCATCACGCTATTGAATGTATTTCACATATTTTGGTAGTTATCATTTTATGTAAACAGTCTCTATTTTAGCAATGCAAGATGTATAAAATCTATTGAAGAACGTATTTCGTTACAGTGGATAATACATGCAAGCACTTTAACTGTTCTCTGCATTACTACATTATCTGATCAATTTTACAACAAACCTGAATTTCTTTTTTCCATCAAAACATTAATTCTTTTTGCAAATATGAGAACAGAATAGAAATACAAATCTTTTCAAGAACCTCCATAGAAAAATGGTATTTTTCTTTGTGAAACACTGTCCATAGAGAACAGGTTCTTTCATCTCCACTTATTCTGTGCCACATTTGCACCAATTAAAAAAGCTGGGATAGCTCAGATCGCAGTGAAAAAGAAATTTCTTCCATCCACTCAGATTTTCCAGAGGGATGCTGTTACAAAGTCAACATTTACGTCACCATGGCATTACAATATTATTGCACTGGAAGTTAGTGGAAATTGTCATGACTGACAGATTTCCACAATGACAGGTACACCAGTCATATCATTCTCCCACCTTCCAAACTTTCAGTGCAGTAAGGAAGAATTAGCATCTCAGTTGACTCAACAAATCCTGCAACAAACCAAGCAGTAAGCCTGTAGTAATAGATTCATCATAATTCTCTTTACAGCTAGATTGACAAAAAGTCCTGTGTTCTAAAATGCTAGTAATGTTTTCTACAAGATGGTGAGCTCAAAGGGAAGAGCCTTGTTTTAGTAGGCTGAGAACTGGCAACTGATACTAACTATAAAAAAAAATTAAACTGACACACCAGCTTGAGGGAAGTGCAAAATGTAAACAAAGGTTCTCAAAAATACAAAGTACAAATACATGGAAGTATGTACAAACTCTTGTGTGATCAAGGCTGAGCATTTTAAAAATCAGTCCTACTATTAGATACGCAAGTACAAAAAAACCCCTCAGATTTGTATCAAATTATCTTTTATTTTACTTCATAAATTATAAAATATATTTATCAAACTAACATAGCCAAATATGCAACTTTATGCAAACAAGAACTACAGAAATTTTCATCTCAAAAATTTATTTTTATATGAACGACTCAAAAGCAGAAACACATCATAGTACATATCTTCTCTAGCTTTTATATAATTTGCTCTGTGAAACAAAGCTAACTACATCCAGATTTGTTCCGCTAATAAAAATAATTCCTCAGATAATGAGGGAATATTTTCCAGCATTTGATTCCAGGGATTGTTCAATCTCCAAACAAACATAGAACACATTTATCTGTATATAATTTGGTATTTTGCATATAATTACAAATTGAAACTAAGAATTCATTCTATCCAATTAAAGCGTACAAACAGGGGCTGAATTGTTTCAATTTATTGAGAGAAGTTAACATTTAAAAACACATTTAATGATTTATTACTATTGAAAGCTGCTGAGAGAAGATTTACATAACAACACTGGCTATATCTTACATTAACATTTCTATTACAGTGACAGTAAAAAAAGGAAATATTCATTGTATTAAAAAGCAACAGATAATAATTGGTACAGGGTACTATGTCTGATTTCAAAGGAGAATTCACTCCCCTTTTTAGGACTAAGTGTTGCAAACCTTCCCTGGCTTGTAAATGAAGTTCTTGGTGGTGGTAAAATCACTGATGGTGACACAAGCCTCAACCTCTGCTTTTACTGCTGACACCAGAGCACTACCTGGCTTTCAGTCATGACAAGGTCATCAACAATTTTTTCTGTCTACACAGCACTTGGACTACTACTTTTGAAGTAATTGCTAGCATCAATTGCTAAGTCCTTTTTTCAAACCTTTCTGTAGTGGCATTATTCCACTACTACCTACCCATCCTGATGCTGTGCCAACTGATAAAATGGGACAGTGATAACAGAGCTGTGTAGTTAGATGCCCATTAGAAGTTTGCTGAGATACACAGACAGAAAGAAATCACTGGTACAGTTTAATGTCTTAAAACCTCCCAAAGCACCTATCACTATTACTGTTCTCTCATATGTTATAAGTCTCTGCCATTTTTGGCTTAAATTCGATTGCATGTCTTCTGGTGATTTTTTAATAAAGGGGAGAAAAAAGTCCATGCACAATGCTCATAAGGCAGTGACTCTCTGCTTACTGTGGAATGATAATATGCATGGAAGAGCCCTCAGAGGAGTTGAAGAACTGAGGTCACTCAAATTGAAATGGCTTACCATTCTAACATGAGGACAGACTGTATATAGCAAAACCAGAGGCATGATGAACTTCCTGATTAAATAAGCAAACGGAACGTTTTTTTTTAATTCCATTCTACATTTAGTTAAGGACCTTGGCATGATCAAGCAAGGATCTGAGCTCAAGAATTCGCAGAGATAATAAATCATTTTTAATCAGTTTGAACAGTTACCATGGAGCGATACTTGCAAGAGAGTAACTGATTGCTGACAAGCATAGGTACCTGTCCCAGGAAAATAAGTGACAGAAGAGATAAGATAAAAAAAAGAGTGATAAAAATGGGAACTTCTCAAAACACTTATTTTCATTTCAGGATTGGATTAATGATCTCAGACAACTGCATATCAAATTTTCTCCATGCACAAATGCAGTCTTTTATGACTTAGAAAGCTCATATAGTAATATCCTAACTTCTGTTCTTAGTGAATAGGAATGAAGGCAATTTCCAAATGGCATAACCGGACACAGAACATGATAAGCACATGCAGCAAGCCCTCTTTGGTTACAGGATTTTTACTTATTTATTTGGTTTTAATTTTAAGTGAATCAGTAAGACTTACTGCAGCTTATCTTGTTGTTTCTCCCACCTACGCACCTGCTGTGAGAACAAAAGCAAGTTGCCCATTCACAAATGCCATGAATAACTGCACTCTGCAATTTACTTGTTTTCAAAGGATTGATGAATAAATTATGTAGGAATAGGAAAACTCTTTAGAGAACTCACTCTGAGATGACAAGGACATTCCTACGAGCTCTACCAACGTGACAAATGGTTTAATTTTATTTGTACAGCAGAATGGAGAGGATGTAGGCATCATTTTAGCAAGACCCCTGCTATTACAGCTTACTGACAAATGCAGCTATATAACTCTTATTCCTTAAATACTGTATAACTCATTTTGGTGGACTAAGCAAATGCGTTTTTTGCCCTTTTACTAATCACAGCAATTATGGCAAATAGAAGAGAATCCTGTGGTACTGCAGATTTCCTCCATATTATTAATGTGGTGTGTGCACATTGCTATAATTACAGCAATAGGCAGCATATTGACATATGAAAGGACTACATTTTTTGTGTAATTTGTGTAGAATTTCAATATATAAAGTATCTTTGCCAATGAAGGAATGACAGAGTGTTGTAATAAAAAATGTCAGTGCTTTAAAATTACCACAGTCTATTCAGCTTCACTGGCCTCGCATGTCAATCCTAACAACATCTGATATATTAATATTGCCAATGAATTAAAATAAATGAATGGTATTGAAATCATCTGAGTTACATATATTAACATAGAGTTATATATATTAATATATGTCTCTGGAACAGCCTTGTTCAGAATTGCGAAATTCACCTGTTAGTCAGCAGAAAGTTTCCTAAGAGCTGGAAATCTAGTTACATTAAAATAGAACAGAACGAACTCGTGGATTACTTCCACTCTAGGCTAGCAAAGCCTTTTATGTTTTAAGAAATGTGCCTTCAAAAGTGCCTTCTCACATATTAAAGAATTAATCTGTGACACTTTTTGTCCTAAGATATTCCTGGCATGAAAGCTTATATGGGTTAACAAAAAGAAAATGTTCATTTATATGGAAAGTGTGATTTAAAACCTCATTAACTGCCCCTGTCTTACTACAGACTTCTCCCTCACACCACCTCTCCATTGCTGACTATCTGACTGTGTTTCAAAAAAAAAAAATTGGCATGTAGGGGTAACCACCAAGACTATTCAACAGTAACATTATTTATAATCAGGAACTTAGTCACAGTAGGAGATATGGGTATCTTGGGCAATAAAAAGAGGGGCCTTCCAAAAGATGTATATGATGTTGCTCATTTTTAAGTTAAAGACCATATAGGGAAAAAATGCTCTTGTGTTCATCTTTAGGAACTTTAGCAGCCTAACTTTACTGAAGATATCTAAACATTAAAGTATAGCTACTAGGCCATGAAGTTAGCTTCAGCTATCTCACCTCCTTTTACGCTAAATAGATGCAGAAATCAGTTAGTAAGCTTTTCACTGCCTATTGCTTGGTTATGTCCTGCAGTGTTACCAGACTCCATTATGTATATCATTTGTTTCTGCTCCTTTAGGTTTCCAAAGACACAGGGCTCAAAAAACATGAGCTGATTTTACTAACAATGCCTCATCCCGTCCAAAGAATTTATGGTGCAATTGCATATGTTAAAGTATAAATTTAAATATCTCAAATGAAATATTATGTAGTATTACAACATAGAACACAAAGTAATAATGGAAAAAAATTAAGGTTTTTAAATTGAAAAATAACCTTTTGACAGTTACGCTATTCACCTTACAGGAAACTGACTTATGTATTGTATGTCATTTCTTCAGTCGTTGATTTCTGACCCCAACATATTGGAATGTTCCTTTCCTGTTGGACAGTCATCATCTTATGCTTGAAAAAAAGTCCCTTTATGTAATTTGTCTTACTTCACAAAATATTTATAAATAATTTTTACTGTTACTGAAATTAAGATAACAAGTGTTTACTCATGTTACTTTTTGTTTTTCAAACTACAACTTAGTGTTTAGTTGTTCTAAAGAAATGCTCCTCACAATAGGGAAGAGTCAT